AACAAATGCCAACTTGTGCAAATTCTAACATAAAGGAAATAAACTTACAGTCACTCTCGACGTCTATACCCAAATCCCAAACGGTCCGGCAATCAAGCTTTGGGTTGTCACGAAGATCAATATACTGTAAATTAGGAAACCCCTCTAAAAGTTTCAACACATTAAGCACGGCAAAACGGTTGTGCCTAAAGTCTATTTCCTCAACCCATCATTTTTCCCCGTTTTCCAGAAGCCCTTGACGGTCTGTAACCGTAAACCACTACAGTCCAGAAGCTTCACGATTTGTCTCTCAAGACAGTCCTCTGTGTTCGAATGCATGAGCAACATTAAAATAAATACCAAAGGCAAAGAAAACATTTTCCAAAAGTTACCCTAGCCTAGCTCAGTTTGCCTTGAAGTTTATCTGTTGAAGTGTTTGCTGTTTTATACGATTGTTATTTAATAGCTAAATCATAATGAAACGTTAATTTTCCTGTAACCATATAAACAACTCGATAGCTATGCATATGTGTTAAAAACAATGTGCATCTCATTACACCTTGCTCAAACAAATATTTGATATAATGGATATTTTTCTCATGTCAACATCATTTTCCCAAAAGCCTATTGCATGTGTAAATGAACACACTGTGTAAAACGTTTCAAATATATATTTCATAAATATGATAATAAAAAGCTCTTTAATTATATGTTAAATGTTTATATAAGTTTCAGTTCTGTTGAGCATCTGGATAATAACGACTGTAAAACATCGGTACGAAAGGTGCCCTGGTGTCAGGCTGTTTCTGCAACTCCTCGGGACCCCATACAAAATAATCACACCGGTTTTCGTTGCAGCAATAGCACCAGTTTCTTGACTCGCTTTATGGCACACAGTTCGTTGTGATAGCAGTTGTGTTTCTCGACTTCTTTCTCGTCTGCCCACATCCATAAGAAGCAAGGATTCTCACGACTTGCACACGTAAAATATGGCCGACCATAAGACTTTTTCAGCATGTCTTTAACTACACAAAACTTCGCGGGCTTTCGGTGACTCTCACATATTGGCTGCCTCAAACCTGTGGCTCTCCAAGCTGCCAAAGCTGTTTGGAACAGATAACCATCCTCTTCAGAACATAGAAATCCACAGCTTGGCTTCTGTCCACAGAACCAAAAGGAACCCTTGTCTGTAGTTGAATTGGAACACTCCATCGCTATAACTTCAAAATAAACACTTTACTTTTTTTCCTGCCTTTTATACAAAAACTCAACCCATCACATCATATGCGTTATGCGACAAATGTTATGGAACAAGCGCTATCTGACAAATGTCATGTATCTTGTCTTTTCTGTAAAACTGTCTTTTTTTTTGTCTATTTGTGTGCTATTTGGTGTAAATAATTTTATATATCCTTTTTTTACACATGGCTTTTGGGGCAAACATTTAAATAAAGTTTATATTAAAAAAAATTATGCGACAGATGCTATCCGACAAATTTCATGTGATAAGTGTTATGCGACAACGCTATTGTTAAAATAATATAAAGCGGATGGAAAAGTACATGTTCAACATTTCAAAATGTCTCAACAAGTTGCAAGTATTGCTGCGGTTATAGATATGGATGGTTTTTTTGTCAACAAAAGTTTTTTCTGTAAAGAATTGGGTTTTCTGAGTGTTGGAGATGCTACAACTCAATCCTTTTTCGACACAGTGGTCTACAGTGGATCAACTTGACGGCCAAAGAGCATGCAGATACGTCCAAAAATATATTCACAAATTACCTTTTGGTTTGGCCGTTGGAGTCGATGCCCTTCCTCTTTCCAAACTTCCTAAGATAATCTCTCGGCTGTACGAGAATGTACGTCAGAACTCGAGGTCAACCATTGCGTACAAAGGCGGGATGTATGAAAGAGACCTGCTAGCTCACCTTAACATTCCTGCGCTTGATCTACAAGACTATGGTTGTCCCGGGGCTGAAAAGCTCTTCGACCAGCTGGTCTGGCTCGAAACGTGAGGGAAACACACTGAAAACGCTGGCTACCAACACTGCGCCAAAGTGGAGGTTGAAGCATTCGCGATGTGGCTGGAGAAGACGCTCGACACTTAAAGAAAAAACAAAAAACTGATTCCTATAGGAACCACCAAAATAACAAAAGAATTGAAATGAATGTGTTATTCATACTTAGCTCGCAAACACACACGTAAAAAAATTGTCCTATAACTATATTCAATTTACCTGCATAAAAATTCCCCTGCAAATAATTCACCTACATGAAAAAAATTATACACAATTTCGAACCGCTCATATTCTTTCATAGATTTGGTGGCTCTTAAAAGAGCCGTTTTTCTCTTCTTTTTTCTTCACAGTAGATTTAGCGTCCACGAAATCTCATCCACCACAATCATTTCTTCTAGAAACGCCTCAGGATGGTCGCGGTACCTTGTTATCATCTCGAAAAAAGCCACAGCTTCCATAGAACTTGCACAAATGCGTGAGCTTCCTCTCTCCCCCTTCCTCCTGTTGCGTACGTCTTGCTCAATACCTCCTATGCCTATGTCTTTCACGTCTATCCATGTTTGCAGTTCCTTTGGTCTTTTTTCTACTTCTGCTCACCATCTCAGCTCTTCGCTTTTGCCCCAAAACACCTCGTCACACATATGTGCGTCGCTGTGGTGCCAAAACTGCACAAAATCTGCATTGGCTTCCAAGATCAAGGTCACACCTACCAGGTCAGATCATACATGTTACGCGACAATGAATGACTTTATTTTGTCCATTGTCTGAGAAGAGCTGAAACATGTCCATGTGCAACCACTTTTTGTCTTTGCCAGATATTCTCACTTCCCAGCAAAAATTAATAATAATTTAATAATATATATAATTTTTTATATATTTCCTTCCAGTCAATGTGTACTTACCAACAGGAGGCATATCAGTAGCTTTCATTTCAGTTTCAATTTCTTCTAAATCCCGCAGTTTTTTATCAGTGATGCTTTTTGATAAGGAAGAAATCGTACTGGTATAGCATATGGTTTGAAATTCCTCCTTTCATAAGAAAACATGACTGTAAGTAGATGACTGACAGCAGTTTGTTTCTGTGTATACACGTCTTTAAGATAATTACAAGATAATTTCCTTTTAAAAATCATTTAAAACATTCTTTACTGTTGTGTCATCACAGAGGATAACACATGATGTGATGAATGACAATGTCTTCTGAATCTTCTTTGAGGTTATCTTTGCTTCCAGATTTCAATTCTTAAACAAATTTACATGTACTCATGATTTCAGCATATAACACTTGTAAGGTTTTATCACCAATGTTTTTATCACCAGCCCATTTCCCTTCCATACTCTCCCTGATACCTTTTCTGATATCGCATGCATCAGGCTTCACCCACCATTTTCCTGTTTCTTCTTCCATTACTTTTTTGGCACTTCTTGCTTCAATTATAAAAAGGAGCTTTAAAATCTTGATCCCCATTATTAATTTTGATTACAACATGTTTTTTATTTCAATTAGTGATTCTGGAAATAATGCATTTTTATCTGAAATGTCCAAATTGGAATTTTACATCAAGATTCCAGCCAAGTTGTTCCAGTTAGACCATTGATTTTCCAAGTTTCAATTATGTCCAGAACTGATAAATAAAGCATGTGTGGAGCTAAAACGTTACCTTATTTGAAAGATCTTTATTGACCAATGTGGTTAGATCACATGGTTGAATGAAAATGTATCCCATCTGGTGAGGTAACATTTAATAATTGCTTTAGGCTAATTAGGTGAATTTAAAAGATGTCATTGCACTTCACTTGGTAATTGGACTTAAATGCTGGATTGGGTGGATAATCCAAGTAGGATATATAAACAGACTTCAAGACCTAACCAGGAATGGTTTGAAAAATGCAACACTGGGTCCTCTGGCAGGAATCGAACCTGTAGCCCTGCTACGGGTTTGACAGTTATTCAAGTTAGGGACCGGTCATAAAGTATGTGTACTGGGTGGTGAAGGGTAAGTTGGGGGGGGGTATGAAACAGATTATCTAACCTTGGGGTATGAGACGAATTACGACATTTGTTGGGGGGGGGGTACGAAACAAAAAACGAGTGGAATACTATGTCTATAACAAATAAAACTACAGACTTTTATAATATCGAGTGTATGTTCGTAAATGTTCCTAGCCGTAAATTGCAATCAGTGTAGCACAGTAGTATTTATGAAAGTGTCTTGATCAGAACATATTAGTTTGACATGTCTGCAACCTTAACAGTCTTGGATCACATTATTTTACGGTCAGGTGGCTCCCCTGCTTGTTTACTTTTAGAATGACTTAAATATTGAGAAAGATATGAAATACGTCATGATGTGCTGTTGGTATAACTAAAGACTAGGAGAAATTTGCAACTAACTGGAGAACAAATAATTTTGTGAGTTGTTTGTTTCACAAATATATAATCCAACATTAGTTCGATTCCTCCTCTTCAAATATATGTTAAAATATTTTGGGGCCGTTCAATATTTTGTTTTTTTATAAAGAAAAACAAATATACGCTAAACGAGCTCCAAATGTCGAATAAATTACTGCCACGCAGACTGTCAATTCACAACCAATGTAAAAAAAATTTTTTTGCCCGTAAAAGCGCTTCATGCAAAGTTATTGTCCACGTAAGAAGAACACACTCACCTACATTCTGTCCAGTTTATTAGTATCTTTGCTCATATCTGCCAGGGATTAATGACATGAAGTTAATTAAGACCGCTATATTAAGCTTAAATAACATGGTAAAGTACTCTTTCGACTTCGTATCATCGTTCATGACAAGAAACGTTCTGAATAACTTGAATAAACACATGCCAACGTTTGTAGGGCTAAAACAAAATTCACCAGCCGAGATTTTCTCTTGAAAAATTTCAGGACAGCGATGATTTGAATTCTCAACAACACAACAACAAAGACGTCTGTGTGACCCCATGACCAAGGTCGCAACTGTCTCCGAAAGGTCAAATTGCAAAATAAAAATAGGTTGCGTGTCAAGATAAAAATATATCAAAAGTTTACAGTCTTGAGGTTTTTTTTATACGTGGAGTCTGCGAAAGTTCAAATCACCGACTGGCGATTCTATATGAATATCTAATCTAAATGGCTACTTGTGGGTACTCGAGATTTATCAGCGGGCAGTGCAGTTCTAGTAGGAATTATCCCGATGATCTTTCCTGTTTGACAATCAAACTGTCAGCGAAAGATTAAAGGGCACCTTAATTTCTTGGATGTCAGAGATGCGAATTTAAAGACCGAGGGACAACTACTATTAGCTCGAGCAGGTATGACATGCAAGCAAACAAACCCATATATTCGCTGGTACAATATTCGTTAGTCATGCATATGATATGTCATAAACTGCTATCGATGGTTAGCATTTGACACAATTGTATCATGGCCATGGGAGATAATATATTATTTTGTGATGCAATTATTATTATTAATACAAATTAGTCTGATACCTATAATATAACATGCATCTGCTTGAGTCGGATCTAAAGGAAAGTATTTCTGTGTACTACCCTTCCCCTCCTCCAACACTGTTAAAAATTAAGTAATTATTACAAACGATTATGGCCACTCTCCTCCGTAGAGTCAATTATATATACGATTGTGGAAATAATATAGGATATTCAGTGGCACAAGACCGGGGGAGAGGGGGGTGAGACCAATGTTTGACTTCCGTCTTTCCATCATACCTAGCGCGTTTTGACTAACAATTACGTAACTTGTGTCTCCAGCAATATTACGTAATTATACTAAAAGTTCGTAAGGCTCTGCAGAGGAGAGTAGATTATGGCGATGGTTGTCTCCAGGCTAGGCTAGTGATTACATGCGCAGTAACAAGTACACCAAAACGTACCACTGACGCTCGCTGATTTTGCAGTCAACTCGTGTTTATAGGCTTATTCAATGGCACTCATGTGCAACTTAAGATAACTGTGTGTCCGCGTCACCGGGATTTGTATGGCATAAGATGGCGCACATGCAAAAAGATGTGCTCTGGTCCTGTTGGTGCAAGCATAAATATGGACAATATAAAGGAGACCGTGGTATTACATCCACTCAGTTTGAGGGACTCTACAGGCTTATAAAGTGCCTTGTTCCTGTTGGTTTGCATAAGTATTGCATGCTCTATGGTCTGTTAAAATCATTTCTCACTTATAAGGCCAATCAGCCTTATTAATTAATAAGTTTTTTGCTCTATTGCTTTGTCTTTTATTGTCATAACGATATTCTTTTTAACAGCCATTTGTAGGCGATGCCGTACTCAGTTAAAAGTAGAGATGGAATCAAGCCCCTCATACACTGACTGATATAGCACAAGAATGTACTCAAAATGTACAAAGAGTTACTTCTGAGGATACTGAAATAACTCAAGTACATACAATATTTTTGTTGTTTGTTTTGTTCTATAAGACCAACGTCATTAACTATAACTGCATGGGGCTGAACTATGCATCTTGGTATATTACATATGCTTCGGATCATAAAACAAACAGGGGATAAGGTACTATTCAATAGAAAGTTTAAAAATATACTACAAAGTACTTAGGTCAGTTAAGGTACCTTGGAGCTTTGCCTCTTCTCTTAATGGTCTTGCTTGTTCCATCTCAAGCTAAGCTTATTTAGTGATGCTGTTTCCTTGCAGGAAATTCAAGAAGACAGAAACAATATGGAAAACCTATGACGGAATCAATCGGTCAACCCAAAAAGCGGTGGGAAGAACTGACCACACGCAGTAAACATCTTGAACAAATGTAATTGTGTCTGCCTTGCAGACAAAAGCAACAAATGTAATTGTGTCTGCCTTGGAAGTGATAATACCTGGCGATGCAGCAAGTATTTGGGATGCTATTCAGACGTCACAAAGTGTCGAAAAGGCTCTTGGAATTTCACAACCAGCTGATAGGAAATATCTAGAAGCACTGGCTGAGACCTACCAGAATGCCACCAGCTGGGACACCCGAAGACAGATCTTAGGAATAATTGCAGATCTGGTACCTTTCTCTCAGATCCAGAAATTTATCCCTGGTATAACGGAATATCGTTTTAAGCAAGCCAGATTGCATATTCTTAAGTATGGGCATGGGGTGCCAGTGCCAGTGAAGAGAAGTCCCAGAATGAGATTAGACGAGTGCCAGTTGGATCACTTCCTTTCCTTTATAACCAGTCCTCATGTTGTACAAGACCTACCATTTGGCCAACGATACCTCCAGCTAGCAAATGGCCAAGTCCTAGAATGTCCAAACGTAATTCGATCAATGATTCCACAAAGAATTGTAATGCAGTACACACAGTTTTGCAAAGAAGACGAAACCAAACCATCGAGTCCCTCAACCGCATTACGAATTTTGTCAGTTTGCACAGCAACTGTACGAAAGTCTTTGCAGGGTTTGGATTATATTTCAGCTGATGGGGCGAAGGCATTTGATGATCTGGCTGGGTTACTCACAAAGCTCGAAAACCATGGTTGTGATCAAGTGTTGATCAATTCTTGTGAAGCAGCATTAAAAGCTGGAAAACAATATATTAAAACTGACTACAAGGTAATCATTTTCTACCACAAAACCTTTGCCTGTGATTTATTAGAATAGCCTTTGACGGAATTCCGCTGCAACACAGATATTAGGGGAGGCGACTGGACTCAGGAGCACAGATTCTTGTAATTTTAAAGTAGAAAAAAGAACCTAGTGACTTTTTTAACTTAGTAAAAACTTATAGTTCTTATATTTTACAGGTGCACGTTTCTGAAGCATCAAATGTCCCTGATCACTGCTGCGTACATGCTTTGAGTGATCAAAAGCAACCTCTCTTTTCTTCCAAGTGCAAACATCTTCGCGATCATTCTTGCTCGTCCTGCAAACAGCTAAATTTTACCCTTGTTTCCATAAAGTCATCTGTGAAAAATTCAGCAGAGAAACTTCCAGATGACGAGTCCGACGATGTAATATTTACCTGTCAGCAGTCGATAGCTGCAATAGAAGCATGGAGAAACAGCATCAGTTGCGTTCCATTCAACAAGATAAAGCCCGCACAGATATCCTGGCCAAACTAGGCGAAAACTCAATTTTAAGTACTCAAGATTGGGCAATGAAATTTTTGCAGCAAAAGTACAGAGAAACCCAGACGGACTGGTTCGGGAAGAGGGGAATATCATGGTACATTAGTGTTGTTGTAAGGTGGCTGGCAGATGGTAAACTGCAGCATCAAGTATTTGTCCATATTGTAGAAAACTGTAGCCAAGATACTGACGTGGTCATACCCATCATGCAACACACCCTGACAGAGCTAAAGAAGGAGAACCCAAATATAACCTCCGCTGCATATTGCCAAGACAACGCCGGTTGCTACCACAGCGGCCCCATGTTGGCAGCCTGTTGCCTTATGGAGGAAACCACTGGTATAACAGTTCACCAGGTTGATTTCAGCGATCCACAGGGTGGTAAAGGCGCATGCAATCGCAAAGCTGCCACAATTAAATGTCATGTATGTTCGTCGTTACATCAACGAAGGTCATGATGCTGTCAATGCAACGCAACTAAGAGATGCCATTTTATCTAACGGCAGAGTAAGTGGTGTACGAGTAGCACTGGTGGATGCAGGAGGAATCAAGCATTTGGAACCCATAAAAATAGTTGGCATAAGCACGCTGAATAAGTTCATAATCGATAACAGTATAGAGAGCATACGACATAGGAAAAGGGAAAATCATACCCTGGGCCAATTTAAATGGTAAATAAATGTCCACCACAGTTATAATTACAAATAATTATGATTGTGATCATGATCATGACGATAATAATGGTATTGGTCATGGTGACGCTGACTTATTTTATATGCAATTTTGATATTTTTAGTGCCTGGCAGCTTCTGCACTTCTACCTTTAACTGTGGGTTCTCAGCTGGAGATTTTGTGGATATCACTCCAACTAGACGCACAAAAACCGACAAGGTGGTTGACAGAGACGCCGATGATGATGACAATGAAAATGAGGTTTATGGAGACAGGAAAGAGAAGTTGCCAGAACTGTTTAGCTGTCCCACTGAGGGGTGTATCAAGAATTACCATCGATATTCATCCCTTGAAAGCCATTTGGAATACGGAGTATGCAAGCTGCAGCTGGAAAGACAAAGCCTTCTCGACAAGGCCAAGGCTGTGTATGTGGAAAAACTATTGCACGGAGCTGGAGAACAGCCTGTGATGAAAAGTTCTGATACTCTTCTTGACAACCGAAACGACATGCTGCCTCAGGGGTGGGCACTAAGAACCACTAAATCTAGCAAGCGCTTTAACGAGAGGCAGAAATCCTACCTTAATGAGAAGTTTAACATTGGCAATGAGACGGGGCACAAACGTAGGCGTTTTACCTTGAATGAGTTCCTGACCCCCCAGCAGATACAATCATATTTCTCTCGAAAGGCGTCAAAGCAAAAAAAGGGGCAAGTACAGCCAGTGGACAGACCTGAAGACAGAGTTGCAGCC